CATTGCTACAGCAAGACCATATCCACGTAGTCGAGGAGTGCGAACGCTTGAAAGCACAGGCGACGGAGAACGGGCAGCTCAGAGCGAGCGCGGAGAACGAGCTTGCGGCCAAGAAGGCTGAATTGGAGTCCGCCCACTCTGTCATCCAGGACTTGCGCCGGGAGCGGCAAGTCGCATCTGAGTTGTCAGAGAGGTTGCAGCAACAGAGAGACATTTGTGTACAGGAGATGCAGGAGATATTCAGGTTGTCGAACAACGTCAGATCTAGATTATGTACTGTTGCTGAACCTGCTACCGTGTGACGATCTCGGTATACAACATGACTTTCTGTTGTAGAGACACTACCTGTGGCGGACAGACATGCTCCTGTACAGAACTCGTGAAGCACGCGGCATTGTCGGCCGTTTGTTGTTAGACTTACTCAATGAAATCCGTAACGAGGCTCTCCAGCCGCCAGGGCTTGTGCGCAGGCGACCATTTTATCCTGCAAGACGTGCCCCGACTTCAAGAATGCTGCAGGACAGTGTCGTGCTGCTCAAGTTGACGTGCTCACAACGAAGGGCAGGGGACACGACACACACTTGACAGTGTACGTGATTAGAAGCCCGATGCAATTTTCGCGTTCATGCTACAACAGTCTACATATCAATCCTTCTTTCTGTCGTATAGTATCAGTGCCCTTCAGGTATCTAGATCTCCTTTAATCAGGTTCCTGAACGGCAAACCATATCTCCGCTATCCAGAACGAAAAAACCGTTTCCAGCGCCTCTTCGCAAGCCATCTGTTGTATTTGCCAGCTGCAGTCTGGTGCGAGTCGGCTCTGCGTGCTCACTGCGGTCGATGCTCGACGACTTTAGGGGAGCGTCCAGGGTTACAGTACACAGTCGCAAGTAGGAATCAAGTCCCGAACAGAACACTTTCAGCACGTTACAGTATGGATGAGCGGTTGCTACTGTATAGCAGAGCAAAGTACAATGCAATCAGCAGCTTGGACGCTGCAAAGACCACATATCGATGCACACTGGCACTTAGATTGACAAACCAACATGCCGTCAGCACAACAACTCACTCTTCTGATCGCCAGGGCGGAGGACGATAGGCTTGCAGATGCGGATACTACGTACAGTACACTGTGCTCCTGATACCACTTGGGATCGTACTGCTTCTGGATAGAACCACTCGGGTAGGGACCACTCTAAGTGAGCACTACAGCGGTAGTCGTGTCCATCGTCTAGGCAAGGCTTCTGTTCTAGATGGGGAGAGTGGCGCGCGTCGAGACCCTCGTGCGGTAAAATCTAGTAAGATCTCTCCTGTCATCTCAACGTCCTCACTCAAGACAGAAACCCCAAGGATGCGCAAGGCAAGCCAGCTGGAGGCTTATCCACTCGCTCATCCCACTTAAAGGCGAGAGACCCGGCTGTATATCACACCATTCGAAATCACCCACGCCGCCCAAGTACAAGCTTCGAGACGCTTCGACGCCGCCACCAGTACCCAATGCGTACGGAAAGAGATCTCCACAGCCTAAGTCGAAGGCGACCGGACAAATTACCTTACAGAGCGTCCGTACTCTCCATCGCAAGCCTGCACACCGAGACTCTCAACATCTGGTCGCATCTACTCGGCGCGCTCTGGTTCGGCACCAGCATAGTGCGCTTCGCCGTTGTTCACCAGGGTCCGCTCACCCGTGATGCTGTAGGTGTTTCGTTGTACCTCGTGGCTACGGCTCTGTGCTTCGCGAGCTCGACCCTCTACCACGTCTTCGCCGATCATGTTCACGCCTGGTTCTGGCTGCGCATCGACCACGTGGGCATCGTCTGCGCGATCTGGGCCACTTCAGTCTCCTTTACGCTGGCCTCGCTTGAGTGCCGACAGGGCGAGCGATGGACGTATACAGCCCTCGTTACCGCCGCTGCTGGGCTGTCTCTTTTTCTACTCGCCCGCATTCAAGAGCACGACGCGAGATCTCGGAAAGACCGGCTCAGCGCGCACGTGGCTTTTGGAGCGGTCGCAGCCATACCCGGGCTGCGCTGTTGGTACCTCCACGCCCAAGGGCAACGCGTCGAGCTGCTGGAAGAGTTCTGGAGCCTCGTCATTGGGAACGGCGTCGGAGGCGGCATCTACGCAACTCACCTTCTCGACAAAGCTATCGGTAGGGACCTCGGCTTGCCAGATATCAGCCACCACGTCATGCACATCATAGCGGTCGCCGGAGCCTGGATGTACCAGCAAGGACTCTTGGCTGTCTACGAGGCTCGCATAGCTGCCAATAGACCATGGTTGTGTCTGTGAGTGGAGAAGACACGGTGCGTGGCAAGGAAGAAGAGAAGATTGGCAAAGAATCGACGTGGTGTTGTCGATGAAAGGGTGACAGCAGGAGTGGTGATAGTCCTTCAATACTCTTGAGGTTGACCTTTTCGGCGGATGGATCCGCTGCTTCATGATGAGGCTTCCTGCTCACTAGCTGTGGCACCGGTGGGCGCGAGGCGCACGCCCAAAGTTATGTGTCCCTATTAGTGTTGTGCGCGTTGGCTCTAGTCGTCGATGTGTTTAGAATGTAGCAGGCCTGGCTCTGCTGTGACGGTAGGATCGCGGGGTGGTTGTGCTGCAGCGTGTAGAGTCCTGTAATGTCAATCCAAGCGTGCCGGGACGCACTGTGTAACGGGACACTTTTTCTTTCGGGCGCTCGGGATATTTTCACCACGCCTGGAAGTCTACAGATCCAGCGTGCATTTATTGTAAAAATCTCGTTCTTCCGGCACATTAGTCTCCGGCGCCGAAAAACACATTGTCAACCGTGCTGTCGCTCGTTCTGTTAACGTCGTCTCCTAACTCTCCTCTAACACTCCCCTGTTTGTTTGAGACAGCACATATTTAAGGAGAGCTCGGTGGGCTGGGGAAGAGGTAGAGATAGCAGAGGTCAAGATTGTAGTCTTAGAAGGTCGATTTAGGGTAATGATAATACATCCTGGTAGTTTCTCCGCGCAGGTTGGAAATTCGTGAAAACGCGTCCAAAAGGCTGTGCGTCTTAAGCAGCTCTTGGTATGCGGCGACCTGCAGTAGCGTGCTGAGATGTCCACGCGCCTGCCCATGCGCGCTGTGGCGGTAAAGCTAAGCTCATTGCCTGAAACAGCTCTTATTTCCGGATAGCGGCTGCAGCATCCAATTTTACGGTTCACAGATCACGGTAATATGATACAGTTGTCTCTTATGATTTTACTCGCTCTCCGCCCGCCAGTTACTTAGCATGTTGAGCGAAGACTGTGTATCAGGGTGTTCCTCGCCAAGAACCTGCTCACGCAGCTGAAAGCATCTTTCCATCAGTACAAGAGCCTCTTCGTGACGAGCTTGTGACTGCAGCGAGAAGGCGAGATTGTGCATGCTGGTCAGCGTAGAAGGATGCTCGTCGGTAAGCACTCTCTTGCTCGTCTCCATCACTTCTACAAACAGCTCTTCAGCCTTCTCATACCGTCCGTCACTCAATAGAGTCCTAGCAAATTTTGTTGCAAGGCGCAATCTTTCGTCGTCGTTATCATCCGCCAGACTATGCGATAAAGCATACTGGGCATGTGGAAGCAGTCGTCTCCACTTGCTTCTGTTACTAACGTCATCGTCCGGAAACACTTGAAGTAGCTGTGTGATGGTGCGTTCGTTCCATTCTTGAAGCCGTCCCTGCACTTGCAGGCGCTTGCGTAGAGCTTGGTGCACTAGCCGATGAACATCGAGCGCAGACTCAGCAGGTCGCCTGGTGACGAGCGCATACTTGTCAAGTATCCTAATAGCATCTTCTCTTGCTTGCGTCGAGGCTGCCTCTAGAAGGTCGAGCGAGATGTCTTTCTGGTCTACACATGCAGCAAGAAACAGACAGTCTGTGGCAAACGCATTCTCACGGCTGATCTGGTCTATGGAGAGAAACAGCGAAGCAGCTACCGGGTCTTTCACGCTAGGATCCTGTAACTTATTCTCAGACGAGTCACCGGTGTGCTCGATAGATAGTTTCTTATGATTGTCTAATCGCGATCGGTAATCTCGCACCGTCATACCGCTAGCCTTTATACAGGCTGCTGCTTGCATGACTGCCAGAGGGAGATACGACAGCTCTCTTAGCAAGTGCTCAGCTTCCCGCTGCTCAGGGTTTGCGAGTGGCTTCGTCAAGCTGACTTGCAGCATCCTCAGCGCCGCGTCTAGTGTTAGCTCTTGTAGTTGTACGATGTTTTGTGAAGCGAGCGCCTGAGCCGTGTCGCTGTTCGTTGTTGTGAAGATAACAGAACATAGCCTAGACTGCGGTAGACAGTCGGCCAGGTCTGCGGCTTCTGTCGTAAACGAGCCGCCAGATCGCAGAGTGGTGTGCTCTGCGTTGTCGAAGATCAGCAAGCATTGTCGTGTGCCAACCTCCACTAGACAGCGTTTCACAAGCTGCTTCGTGTCGGCTTGATCGTCGTCCCAGCCTAGAACACTTAGCTTCTGCGCAACACTTGCATACGACTGGTAGAGGCTATCTTTGTCGCTTGCGTCCATCCAAAAGACTGAGCAGTTCTTGTTGTTTTGCCTTGTTCTGTGTGCAACCTCAAGCGCGAGCTGCGACTTGCCCGTTCCGCCAGGTCCAACGATCGCTATTGTAGTAGTGGTCTGGTGGTTGTTAAAGAGCTTGGCTTCTAGCTCAGCGAGCTGTAACTCTCGACCGACGAAGCGAGGGTTTTGTGAGAACGGGATGATCGACGGTGCGTTAGCAGCTGCCTCTACTTCAGCCCGCAGTCTGCGTTGTGCACTCTCCTGTCCTTCGCCATACGTGGTGGGCATAGAGACCCCGAGAATCCCAAGCAGGCAGTATACAACGTCTTCCTCTTCCGTTGTTCTGCGACTTTCGGCCCATCTCTCTCGCTCCGATGTACTGAACTCGTGTAAAGGACAGTTGCGCAACACCGCGAGCGGGATGTTGGTGATCTCGTAGATAAGCTGGTCGAGCGACGCTTTGTCGCCTATGCGACGTCCTTCACGTGAGAAGAACTCGACTAACACTGGCGCAATCAGCTCTTGGAGCGTCCATCCCCGAGTGAACCATGCGCTCGCACGAAATGATGCCTCCCAGTCGCTGCGTTGGACCGGCTCTATCGCAGTCGACACTGACACGTCTGACAAGAAGACGTAGCATCGTGTCGCATTCTTGTACCACTGGAACATCGAGTTGATCGCTTTCGACCGCTCGCGCAGGTTCCATCTGTCGATGCAGCATGTGTCAACCCAGAAGTACTGCAGCTCGTCCTGGGCCGTCCGTTCAGCGCAAAACTGGAGCTTTCGATAGCCTTCTTCCTTCTCCTTGTAGGTCCCGTTCGATATGTCTTCGATAAGGATCTCGGAGTCGCTCCATCTGTGCGACAGAATGGCGTAGGGCGGGATCGTTTTGCCGCGGAAATCTGTCAACACGGGCCTTCCCAGCGCGTTATAGTGGAGAAGCCGCATGGCGCTCACGATTTTGGCTTAGCAAAGGAAAGGAAAAGCGAGGCGCGAACGACTCTTTAGGTGTTGAGAGTAGAAAGGCATAGTCGCGACAGAGCGAGGCAGGCTGAGGAAGCTTACGCTGGGCTGTTGCGAAGGCTGACTGTCGAGGCAGTGCGACCAGGCTGAGCGGATGCTGGGCACATCGAGCATTCTGTGCCGCCCCGCCTCACATCTTGCGCTGGACAACGTTCGCTCTCTGGACTCACTTTAGATTACTGCACACGTGGGCAGGTGCCAGCGGGTAGAGCAGTCCCATTTAGACTGCCATCGTAGTGTCTCACGAGACTCATACTAACGAAGAAGAGCGCACAGCAATATAGGTCGTGTAGATGTAAAAACACTTTCTTGTTGCACGACTGGACCAACAGCTGCCTGCAAAGTCGGGAATAAGAGCTGCTCATGGCAAAGTGCTTAGATCTGCGATTCTCAGCCACAGCGCGCGGGCACGTAGACATCTCAGCACGCTACTGCAAGCTACTGCATGCCAAGTGCTGCTAATAGCGCACGTCCTGTAGGACAAGTTTTGACGATCTTGCTGTCTGCGCGGAGAAACTGCCGGGATGTGCATTATTCGCCTCAAATTAATCATTTGAAGGGGCAGTCTTGATCTTTGTTATCGTAACTTGCCTTGTAGCTCACCGAGCTCTCCAGAGATGAGTATCGCGGAGGATAAACAGGGGGCCGTTGGAGGAGAGTGGGTGAACAACAGTAACGGAACGGGCGACAGCATGGCTAATGACGCTCTTCTCGGCGTCGGAGACTAATGCGCTGAGAGAACGAGAGCTGCAGGATAGATGCGCATTGTACTTGCCTGTATTCAAGAGCGCTGAGGGCAATCCGAGGGTCCGGAAGTGAAAGCGTCCCGTTACACCGTGCGTCCCGGCACGCTTGGATCGACGTTAGATAAGCTGGGTTTAGATTATTGAACGAGAATTCACCCTGGGGCACAAGTGTTTTGAGAGTCTATGCCTAATTAGTAACACCGTCCTGCGCATCTCGATGTCCTCACACCTGACCATACGGTAACGGCTTGTTCGCAGCACTGGTTCACCCGTAACTCGCGCTACCGGCGGCACGGAAAGGTCAGGTCCAACCCT